AAAGGTGGAGGTGCTTTCCTCGCCATTAATCCCGGTCCTGAGCCAGTAGACGCCATTTTTGGTCGAAGATGTCTGTCTTCCATGACGATTTACGTCGTGAATCTGCTTGCAAGAGTCTCCAGGTCGCTCTTTATCTCCATAAGGGAAAGCATTGTAATGTGTTAGGTGACATGTGTCTCCAGGGCTTACCGTGGGGTTGGACTCGACGACCAAAAGTACTCTTAAATTGTCATAATAGGTCGTACATCCGATCCTACTGTCAACTGTGAGGCAGCCGAATCCGATGGTGTCCCTTGGAATCATCCATGTGTTTTGTACAGCGATATTTTGTATGGACACACCATTGGCCCCCAAATTTTGTACTTAAAACGAAACCACTTGTTTTTAACAAGAGGTTGTGGAAGCTGGCATTTGTACTTCCATCCTCCGTCTTTGTTGTGGACAAACGGTCTCATAGTGCATTCCTTGTCATCGGTCCTGTACGCAAACCACCAAACTGTTGTGTGCTGTAGCCCGAATTCCTGAACTCGTAAAAATGGACCAGGATAAACAGTGCCCGTACCTGTCTCCATAAGATCAAGTTGCACTTCAATGTCGCCCCGTTCTTTCCCTTCTTTAAGGTACAGTCCAACCTCACCATATCCAAACAGTGATCGGCCAGTTTTGCCAGCCCAATCTCCCCAGACCCGTTTCCAGTCTCTCAGTGTTGAATTAGAGAAATCTTCGTAGAACAGGAGCACGTTCTTTGGGTCAGCTTTGGTCTTGTCAGTGGATTTTCCACCAAAATCGAGAGCATAAGAGGTGTAACCCAGTGTATTGGTAGGAAGTACCCTCTGCGTTCTGAATTTAATAGTAGTACTATTAGTGTACAAATCAGTAACAATTCGGTCTATCTCAACCGGAAGACTTCCATCATCATGGAGGTAAAATACTCGCCGATCTTCGCCATCTTTGGATGTTTTCTTCTCGTCTACCAAGTACTTATGATTTACTGTACGTAATGGCAAACAAAGAGGGAAACTGTAAGCACCGAGGTGCAAATGATGTCTAACTGGATAAATTGCGGGTATTGGAAAGTAAAATAGACGCTACCGTGTTTATTGTCCGCCGACAAGCCTGTCATCATTACCAATTTCCAATTAAAAGACATGGTAGAATTATATGAATTATATATATTGCGGGCTGTAAGCTTTCAATGGGCAATTCCACCTATGAGACGTGCCTGCACGGAATCATGGTAGTTGTATTCATGAAAACAAATTTCCAGTCCAAGATGATGACAACTACCATGATTCCCTGCAGGTGCATCATACAGGGAATTGGCCATAGACAGAGCAACACTCGTTTTTGAAAAATGACAGCCACATAACAAGCGAGGTTGTGTAGCAGTTCGGTTCGACTGAAGTTTGACGTTCGACTTAAACAGGCGTTCCTTCAGTTATTTGAGTCGACCCAAACTGCCATTAAGTCCGGCTCATGTGAAGTACGGCGTTTGACCCGGGCCTAATTATAGTAATAAACTGTAGTCGACTATCATGTAGGAACAGTATAGTTTATTGAGTACAAACATAGTCGATTCATCGATATAGCTATAGCATTGTAGCCTGGATAATTTTAACTCTTTACTCTAGTCCTTTGAACTCCTACGAGCGGGGGATCCAACTTTTAGATATTTTGTACTTGAAATTATTGACACATTTATCAAAACGTAGACAGAAGAAAAAATACGCAAAAAAGAAACCCGGCTTGGGGAAGGCAACCTGAACTTTATGCCGCGCTGTTGCAGTTGTCACGATGCCCTTATTTAGTCAGCAAGCCCTTGGTTATACCTTTCATCTGCAGACGACAGACATTCTACGGTAAGCCATATTTCGAGTGTATCAAAGACTGTTGCAAAGTATTTACAAGTAAGTAGCGAAACTTGATTGACATAAGACAGTGGAATGAAAATGCATAAGATCGTTTATCGGCACAAATTGTGCTAGTTAGAGACTTAGATAGGTCAATTGGACAGAATTCTGGAGAAAAACGAAAGTTTTGGGAAAAATGTGCTTTTCCTTAACAATAATATTATTAAACAACCACAGTATATCAAAGCGCTTCGTAGACAAGTTGTTGAATGATTAAAATAATATACGTCCTTTTGGAAACAAATTCTTCATAGAATCGACTCTAAAGGTGCTGTTATCTTGTTTTTCGATAGACTTTACTCATGCTTGCAGTTCTCAAATTGTGCCTTGGGGCGTTCTCAAGTCAGGAATCCAAATGATGCACTATGAACAACCGCAGGGGTCTCCACACGTCTGCAGATCAGTCCACATCTCTCTTAGCTCCTCGGGATCGTTTTCTGGAGAGGTAAAGGTTCCCGTATCACACTCACGTCCACAAGACCAGCGGTAATCCTGTAAAAAGATTATCAATAATAAAATGGTTTACTTAAGGTTTACACGTCTTCTTTTTTGCTGAAAGATAGCGTGCCCTAAAGGGAAAGGCAGACAGACAGACAGAAAGACAGAGAGACAGACAGACGGACGGACAAATAAACGACCAGACAGATAGACAGGCAGGCAGACAGACAGACAGACAGGCAGACAGGCAGACAGGCA